TACTATTTAATTTGTACACTTTTAATTAAATTTTTTCTCTTGTCTGTTTTGTTTTGCCTCTTTTGTTCCGACTTGACCTGTCATTTTCAATGTAGCATTTTTCCAACGAAAATTCCAAAAAAATGGTATGTAGGAATAAGTTTTCTCATTAAAATTTTCATTGGATTTGAACATTTCAGAGTTTTCGTTGGATTTCGACGATTTCACCGATAGTTTTTTCCAACTGTTGAAATGTGCTCCGGTTAAAATATCAACATCTCCTTCATGAAAGTTGGGAGAACGTCCCGGAACTTTATGGGAGAATCCGAAACTATCTACCAAACTCGGAAATATGTGGAAGGTCCTGGAATATTACGAAGGGATACTAGATCCATAAAGAACATTGCGGAAGGATGTGTAATATTCTAGAGCGCAAGAGAAACTTGAACAGTTTTTTGGATGCTACTAGAATATTGTAGAGGTTACTTAGATGTTATAGATCATTATGTGGGTAAGTCTGTAATATTTTAAGGTAATTATAGTACTTAGTGGAATGGTACAAGTTGATCCTAGAATAGTTTTGAAGGGGCACAAAGGTTAGGAAACGCATGAGACTGCTAAGTTCTTTAGATAAGAGTATGTCTATAAAATAGGGGAGTCTTCATTTGCAAACAATCAATGGATGAGTGCCATAATGAAATAAATAAAATAGTTAGGGTGTTTTGATTTTCGCAAGTGAAGTGTCATATTGGGTGTATATTATTATTTTATTAAAAAAGAAATCACTTTACTTTAGTCAAGTTTTACAATTTTCGGAAAGGATTAGTAAAATGCTAACCTGACGAATTAACTTCTAAAGAGGACGATTTCGTAGTCTTTGAGAAGCATGTAGATGAAAAACTGTCGTGAATTGCAAACTCAAATGAGTTTCATTACTTCAATGAAATATCGATTGAAATTTCAGTTCAAATTTTATTTATTCAATTTTAGGTTAAAATTTGATAAGTTGTGTAATATTTAAATTATCCACATATTTTGCTTTTAAGGTTATAAGTAAGTTTGTTAATTGATGGATGTTTGGAATCCATCAAAATTACATGTGCTATTTGATTAATTGGAATGTGATATTGATTCTTTCAATTTTCTGGTAATAAAAAATGTATAATTAATTACTAATATATTGGTTCTTTTACTTTGAAATGACCGACATACTAGCCCCCAATACTTATAGTTCCGTTGAACATACACTAGATGCAAACAATGCAATTTGGTAAACTTTTATTTATGTATATTATATAATTTTTGAAATTATCTAGAAATGTTATTAAAAATTAAAATTAAATATTTGAGATCATTTAGATATGCAGTGGAAAACAGCATTAAACATTTATTAAGTGCTTGTATTTATTATAATAATACTACATTATAGGTGTACGAACGAATTTGATGTGTTGTTTTGATACTAAAGTAAACTTTATTGAAGTTATAAAATCAGTCTCAATATTTAGTTTTTGGTATATAGTATATACTACTTTCGATTTATCAACAAGTTCGATCATATCAATATATAAACGCTACCCACCACATATTTTTTATTCATCTCATACACATTCACACACACACACTTCCACGAAGCATGAGATGAGAGAATTGTACGAAGAACAACGAAGAACAGTTTATTTTCTGATCAATCTGATTAAAATATGATAACTGTTCGTACATGCAGATACACGTCTGTTTTAAATAACACATCAAAGTCCTACACACTAATAATAAAAGTCCAAACACTACAAGTCCAATACAACATAATAAAAGCCTAAACATAACATAAATTGAATAATAATAATAATAATAATCAAACTAAAGGCCAGAATCGATCATATGTGCCGATAAATACTAACGCACTGTAGGTGTAGATTAATCTAAGGTCACTAAAAAATGAACGGCTCACATGAAAATTTTCCAATCCAAAATATGGATGGAATCACACCTTGTCTTCTCTACACGATGGGATCCCATTAAAAGCAAGAAGATGAGAAATTGTAGCCCAAATTACTAATGACTAATTAATAATTAATTTTATTTTAATAATGACGGTCAGCGACTGATCCGCTCTAGATTATTCTCCGGGAAATGAGCAATTAATTACAACCTAATCCCATCCCACTTGTTTAATTACGAAGAGTGTAAAACCCTAATAATAAACGTGCTTTGAGCTTGGATTACAGTAATATTCTAACATTTTTTTACAGCAATTAACCTTTACAAGTGCTGTAATTAAGGTCAACATGTCTATATTGCTTGTTATAACCTTTCAATTGCTTCTATGTTTATACTCGGTTTAATTGCAAAATATAGACAGTATCTTGTACGTAGTGGCAATATCAGTCATCATGTATACGGATTGGCAATACTAGCCAGCAATTTTTGAAATTTTGGTGTTATTACCCATGTCCGACTAAATTCGATGGCTATTGTTGTCACTGCGTAAAAAGATACTGATGGTATTTTGCAATTTATCTGTCGAATTTGGTTGGATTTCGGTAATAATATCGAAATTTTGAAAATTGTTGGATAATACTGCCAATTCATAAAAATAGTTGCTACTATTGCCACTGCGTACAAGATACTGATTATATTTTACCATTTAGCCTTTTATACTACATATACATTCCTTGTGCAGTTGTGTCTGTCCCTGTCCCAACTCAATTTATTTGCAGTATATAAATACGATTTTTTAAGTTTAACGTAAAATTAATATTGTTGTGAGACGGATTAAAGTTTAGAGGAGTCA